GCTTTGCATACGCGCGGGACGACTGCTTCGGGATCTTCAGCCGACCCCTCAAAAGGGTGAACCGATACACGCTGACCCCCGTCAACGCCGTATGGTTCAATACTTCCATCGGCATCGCCCTCCTGCTCCTCATCTTCGGCGGCGCAGCCATCGACGCCATTTTCAGCATCGGAGCTATCGGCGCCTACATCGCTTTCACGACGCCTATATTCCTAAAGATCGTGTTCGTGGGGAACAAGTTCCGGCGCGGACCATGGCACTTGGGTGCTTTTAGTCTGCCGTCTGGCATTGCGGCGTGCTCTTTTGTGCTGGTCATGATGCCGATTTTGTGCTTTCCGAGTCTGAGGGGCAAGGATCTTACGCTGGATCAGATGAATTGGACTTCGCTTGTTTATGTGAGGCTGCCCTGTTGATCCCTAACGCGGACGGGATTGTGCTCGTATAGAGGAAACAATTACTGACCAACTGTTTGATTAGGGCACGCCGATGTTGTGCGTGGTGATTTGGTTCTTCGTCGACGCTCACAAGTGGTTCAAGGGACCTAAGATCAATATCGAGGTATGCATACCCTTTCATCCCTTTTTCTTCCTTTCTAGACATGTGGTCGATTGGCATTGTCTAACTTACGGTAACTACTAGCATCATATGCTCCATCATCAACTGCCCGCTGTGGAAGGCGTCGCGGTACCCTCAGGAAGCGCCGGAAGTGCCAAGGATTCGGATATCGAAAGGGGCTCGGTAGCCAAGGAGACATCGATCTAGCTGAATTGCGAACTGAGTTGGGTAGGCTTATGCAATATCTGGTTTACTATATAATCTAGAGCTAGAAATATAAAAGGAAGATAGAATACGGTTAATTTGATCTTATTTGGGCCATATACCTCTCCACGAGTTTCGCCAGCCTGGCTTCTTGAGGACTGAATTATATGAATGCCAAGTTATTCTTGGCTAGGAACTAAAAAGTATGTCAAATTGACTCCTTCTGGAATAAACATTTTTATTTATTATATACCTGTTAGTCGACATAAGTGTATATGAGTGCCATATTCATCGCGTTAACAATTTGAGCTATCACGATTTTCTATGAAGACATCCCTTTTGGGGCTATACAAGTCATTCCTACCAGGCTCATGTAGACCCGGCGCTGCTATATTACTCGAAGATCCGTCAATACCAAGACTTTGAGCTCGTGGAACTACCTGCTCCCGTGAGACTGTACAAAGCCGAATTTTCGTGTTCTATATCGTCGCTCTCCTACTTTTCTCTTTCCTATTTGATGTCAGATCTTATTTTTAACTTGCCTTATTCACTACTCGCTACTTCCTGTGACACCAAGGCGGACGAGAAGGATGATAGCTCCTCTAAAAACATGCATCGGTGCAGGCCAACAAGTCTATTTCTCAGCTGGTCATGCGTTGATATGCGATTAGCTCATTCTTAGGCTAGAGTATGGAAGACGCTTCTAAAAGTTTGTTCCATAGGGACCTACTGTCAAACTTACCTGACATTTGTTATAACTTTTACTAGTTGTCGCCAACTGTTACTCGTTTAACCTTATTCTAAGATAATAAATCCTCTAATCCCTTATCACGTATAGTATAACGCTTTACGTAATTCTTAAACTTATAAGTAGGTACTAGCTTTAACAGTTAATAGTAGTTTTTAACAGTTACTGTATAGGTCTATAAGTAGGTCCCTATGGAATAAACTTTTGGAAGCGACATCTGTACTCAGGTTTCTGAGTTCCATGCACTGGTCCTATTTAGCGTAGAATATCCACAAGGGTTTGTGGTTGGATGGGTTCTTCCGCGCACACTCTACCTTAGGTACATGGTTGGCATCTAGTAATGATGAGATGTGTAACTTTATAGACACGGTCGAGGCCCTATTCTACAGAAGCTACAATGAGACAGATGAGGCCGGTGAGAGCTTCTGGGCTTGACCGAGTTGGAGCAAATCAGACTAAGGACTAAATTAGTAGACACGGTGAGAGAAGTTTCCAGGGAACAATTTAGCGAGTTGACGCTTGTCGGGAGGGAAATGAAAGAAGTAAGCTGTTCCACCGGCTTGTCTGTTATTGAGAAACCGGTGAGAAAGCGCAGACTTGGGAAATCGGCGTTGGGGTCTTCTAGACTATTGAGAGACAACGAGGTATGTACACAGGCTGATCGTAATCTATAGCCGCAGTCTCATTTTGTGAAGGCAAGACTGGAAGGTGCCTAGAGCGGTCTAACAACTCACGGACCGCCATCATCAAACCGGACAATATAGCAGTAGTTGAGCATAGCTCGCATATTGTGACCAAGCGATGCAACGAGCTTTGTCTCCTGATCAGATGCGGTTAGGCGGTGGAACTGGACTGCGCTTGGCAGGGCCACCACGTGATACTGAATATGGTTACTTAGTGCTTATTTTGCAGTACTTTGACATCCCATGTGGGTCCTGTCCAAAGAGTCCCATCGGGCCCCTATGGCTCAGTGGTAAAGCGCATCACTAGTAATTCGCTAGAGTAATGATGAGATCACTGGTTCGATTCCAGTTGGGGGCAAACTAAACTTTCTTTTTTTTATTTTTTAATAGACCTGTTTAAAGTAGGTAGGTATAGGTAGAGTCTTGGTTTTCCGCTTTTGTCGCGTCATCGCGAGATGCAGTTCATTCCTTTCATTTTTGTTCCATCCTTTTTGTGGCTGCTCTCTTGCTATTCCCGCTTCGAGTGTGGTATACTCGATAGGCGTCCTCTTTCAGTTTTTACTAGATATTTCTGTTTCTATATCATAGTATATCACAGCGGCGGCGTCCTGAAGCGCTCGTTGTTACAAATGGAGCACGAAAGTTCCATCAACTCAAAGCAACAAAAATTCCTGGAACCATTTGATGCCAAGGCGTGTACAGCATCCCAGGGCTATAGAGGTGGATGTCACCACAAAGCGCTCACATACATCTGTTTTTCATTGTGATACCAACAAATCAAATACGGCCAAGAGCGTACTGTGAGTAGGGAGATACTCAGTAACCAACTTCGATGCTAGGGCCTTTCACTATCATGTAGTTGGTATGCTCCTCGCAAGGGAGGCCCATTGCCTCGGTGTCTACTGCCCTTAGACTGTGTTCTCATTTGCTAAAGTAGTCTTACCGTGCCAACTTTTGTCTGAAGAGTTCTTTCATGAGATCTTATTCTTACTACCTCCTACTTGTCACGTCTTTCATGAAGTCGCGATGGCTGAAGCACCTATTCGCATAGCAATTGTAGGCGGTGGCTTTGCCGGGGCAACACTGGCAAACGCCCTGCTCGGCGCCAGTCACCTCGAAGTGCACATTTTTGAATCCGCTCCGGAGTTCTCAGAACGTGGCGCGGCTGTTGGGCTTTCCGGCAATGCTCGCTTGGCTTTACAGCATATCTTGCCGGCAGCACGAGAGACCCTCGCCAAAGCGGGTGCAGTACCCATCAATTCAACCCGCATCATGTTGGTGCGTGATGTCTCGTATCCTAGTTTTGACGTAAAAGAAACAGGATGAACTAATGCTGGCAAAGGGTTCGGGACCAGACGCAGGTTCTATGGTCGGCGATTTTGATGCTGAGCAGACTCCCGACGACAAAGAGTTGATTGTTCATCGTGCATCGCTTCTGCGAGAGCTCTTGGCGCCGCTACCCAAGGAGCATCTGCATCCAAATAAAAAGCTGACTGGGATCACCGAAACCACTGATGGTGTCGAACTCGCCTTTCAAGACGGCACTACTTCTCGGTTTGATGCTATTATAGGTGCAGATGGCATCTTTGGCTCGGTCCGAAAGTACGTTTTGCAAGACGCGGCAGAGAAGCATGCTGCCTCACCAGGAGGATGGGTAAGTTGAAATTTCAGTGGTTTACAGCTTCCTATGATCTACCGGCTACATGTTCCTCAGTAGAGACTGAAGCTTACGACTTCGCAGTGGGACAGCAGGATTGTAGTTCCTATTGCCAAGGCCAAGGCCCTTCTTGGAGAGCAATACTTCGACGTCCCAAGACAGTACCTCTGGGCTGGAGATGGCATCTTCGTACTGCACGATGTACTAGAGAACGGATCGATGGTTCAAGGCGTGATATCGGGCGTCGAGACCGATCCACCTGCCAATAGAAAGCGCCCCCTTACGCACGAGTTGTTGGCCGAGGCATTTCAGGCTTGGCCCGAAGGGTCCATCGCGAAGGGCATCATCGATGTAAGCCGAACCTTGCAAACCATAGGGCTCCAATTTTAGCTACAGTAAACTCACCCGCATGTAGCTACTGCTCGACCAACCCGAACCACAGGGCTATTCGCAGTACGAGCATAAATCGACACCAACCTATGCCAATGGCCGTGTGTGCATTATGGGCGATGCGGCTCACGCAACAACCCCATGGCAAGGTGCCGGTGCGGGACAGGCCTTCGAAGACGCCGTTATTATCGGGACACTCCTTGCCAATATCTCTACCGCGGACGAAATAGATGCGGCGTTCAAGGCATACGACGCGGTGAGGCGACCGAGGTGCCAGAGAGTCATCGATTCGAGCAGAGGCACCGGGGAGATATTCACGGGTCAGAACAAGGAGGTTGCCATGACAGTTGATGGGCTGAGAAATGCGCTTTCTGAACGTTGGGACTTTCTCTATATCGATCTAGATGCCCATAAGGAGGAAGCACTTTCCAAGATGAGGGAAATCAGAGGCGGTTTGCCTTTGAAGGAGTAGCGGGTGACATCACCGTATAACATATCCTGGTAGGCTTCTATGAATTCATCAACTTATACCTTCCTTGATGTCACATGAATGACGTACTGGTATTGACTTGCCCAATTAATCGTAGCGAGGCGTGGAGAATACACGGATACATACATCTTGAGACAATAGGGGTCTCTGTACAGCAAGCACATCCCACTAGCCCTTCGCTCTTCCTTCCTCTGATACCTTCCACTTTCCTACCTTGCTACAAACTTGCCTCATAAGTTTGTTTAGCAGTAATTCAATCATCGATCAATCAACGGGCATGTAGTTCAGTGGCAGAATCCTCGTTTAGCATACGAGAGGTCCAGGGTTCGATTCCCTGCATGTCCAATTTTTTCCCCTTGATCCTGTTTGAATCTTTTTTTTTCGCGCTGTTTTCATCTATTTCCATATGGTCTTCCCATCATCAGGTAATTGGTCTACCAGCTCACTATCTGGCGCTCCAGTAACTAAGCGCTTCAAGTTCTCTCGTACACTGAATCTTATATATGGCGACCCGGTTCCCTTTGCGTAGCCTCCACCCTGACCTACAATGTTGGAACTACCGCCCTTAGCGTAGTAGTGACTGAATAAGGGCGGCTGTACTGTGATGCAAACCGGACCAGCTTCCTGAAACTTGGTATCGCCTTTTGCCTCTGCATCTGATAGAGATTTATCCTTGGTAGCATATTTCCCCTCGCACCATTTCTGCAGCATCAAGTCCCACTGCGTCTCGTAGTGGGCGTCGAATTCAGAGAGCAGTTTGCGAGCACCCCGATGACTAACAGCGTAGGCTAGACTGCATACGTTGCCGCTGGAAGCGTGAACAATGCGGGTATGTGGAGGATATTCTTTGCCAAGCTTGTCCTGCAGGGCAAATGGATGAGGTTTGAGGTGTTTTGGAGCCGGGACTGTCTCATCGTTCGGAATCGCCACTCTCAGGGGTGGAATTGGAGACTGGTCAGAAGGTAAATCAGCGCCGCAGTGGCCGAGCCATAGAACATCCCAATCGTCTCCATACGGAGTTTGATGAGCTTGGTTAGCGACGCCCGCCGCACTAGTTGATTGTACTGCGTTCTCGGAGTGCCCTGCCACGGCAGCCACGGCACCTCTCCTCGCGAGAAGAGAGGGTGGAACGAAGTCAAGCAACTCATTTTGGCGTTTATCAGACTTGGACTCCCTCAACCAAGTCCTCGAAGCCGATGCGAAGGTCTGAAGTTGCGATTTTATGCGTATATCCCAGTCGATGTCATCCTCCATAATGAGTGCGCTTTGTAGATTGTCTCTTACAACCGCTCGCAAAGCATTCATATGGGATCTCCAAGATCCCTTCGCCCCAGAAGAGCGCCCTCCTTGGCCAAGTGGCATAACGAGATCTGACACCTGATTGCCCGCCACACCGTCAATCCAAGTGAAAGTCAAGTTGCTGACCGCACCTGCTAGGGCCATTGCATCTCGCCGATCTGTTCGCGATGGAAGATTGATGACGAATATCTTGGAGAACTTTGGGCGGAGTTAGGTTGCGATTACATGAAAATTAAAGGGGGTCTTACACCTAGTGTTCTATTAACCACGTCCCCTCTAATAGATGATGCCCCTAAGTCTCCTAATATGGCAGCAGTCCTAACTCTCCACCAGTATATGTAAATGAGAGGAGTGAGCAAGCATATTGTTGCGAAAGATCTGCGGTAGGGAGGCATCACGCATGGACGTGCAGCGAGGGGTACATCTTACAACTGCATCCCGGTTCTTTATCGGAATATTGGTTAGACGTGCCAGCGATGAAGTAACTGGAAGACACCGAGATGAAGCTATGAAGTTCTCAATGTGTCCTCGATCGTCATGCGGCTCATCCATCGAAGGGTCGAGACACGGATAAAAGAACCGGGTAAATTCGAACCATGATCAATAACAAGGATCTTGATGACGATACTACTGGAAATGCGTGGCATTTATAAAGTACCAAAAAAGGATCCTGAGTTCTCCTGAATGTTAGAACGAACTTTAGTAAGCCCAATGACGTCCCAATCCTTTCTCTGCCCTTTTCCCTACCTACTTACCCCTATTTTACCCCTATCTGTGGGTATTTATTGCTAGGATTTGGATTTGATCTTGGCGCGGCTCAGACTCATAGATTATTTCGGACTAGAAATTCATTGGATACCATATATGGCAGGCGAATTTATCAGTACCTTATATTCGCAATGCAAGTGTGTTGGTGTTCTGTGTAGACCCATGCCAACAACATATAGTGGCTACCCTTGAAGAGCCTGAACGACCTGAGCCCAATCTTCCGGAATGTACGCACCAGGAACTTGCTCTCCATCGAACAAGCTCGCCATGATAACCCGATCAGACTGCTCGCCTTCCCACGGCTCGCGCCCATGCTGAGCAATAATATTATCGTAGACCAAGACATCACCGCGCTGCCATTTATGCAATACGCGAATCTCATCCGTAGTTTTCGCAAGCCGCTCGAGGTACTTCTCCGGGATCGGTGTACCGTCTCCGAAGAGCTGCTGTGTAGGGTTGTGTCTGGCTCCGTTAACTTGGGCATTCTTCCAGTACGCAGCTAGCCCAGTGAAAAGCGTCGGTAAGTCGGTACCCGGCTGTGTGCGGATTGCGGGAAGTTTATGAGTTAGGACGATGCCATCGTCGGTCCATTCCCAGGTGGTGTATTTACCTCTGCCGTACCTGGCGATCTGAGCCTCGATCTTCGCGCGCTGAGTCGCCTCATCATCCCCGTCTCGGATTTCCTTTCCAAAGGCTTGCTTCAGTGTCGAGCCACCAGAATACTGCTTGTCGACTTTGTAGGTGACCCTACTAAGAATCCCCTTTTTGGCGAGCTCGTCAATGAACTCGGGGATCTCCTGCTGAGCTCGATGGAAGAGTTCTAATGATGATGATATTGGCGTCTCTCCGCCTTTCTTGGCGACGCTATGCCCATAGAAAAAGATGTACTCAGGGGCATGGGGGACTTGCGGGGACTCGTTGTGATTGTAGATTAAGACTTCCTTTGGCGATTCGTTGGCTGGAGCTACATTGGGCGCAAGTAGTGGTCTATCGACCACGATTCCAATGATTTCATCTAATTCGTGTTAATACCTTGCATGGGCAATTGAGGCCTGACTAGCTCTTATATTCCTGCGGGGGGAAAAAGGGGGGTGGGAAAAGGGGTTATAGCATGTACGGGAACTGAAAGATATAGAGACATACTACAGAGGAGTTAGTATCAATTAAGCCACCTTAGCATAGGACGTCTTATACATACCGTGGTTTATAACCAAAGGCATGAGCGAATCTACTGAATTCATTCGCGTCGTGAATTGGCAAGCCTCGAAACAGTAGTGTGCCATGAACAGCCAACTTATTGTTAAGGATGCCACCCTGCGCTTGTAGATATTTCACTGTTTCAATAACGGTGTCAAGATCGGGTTCATCACTTCCAGGGTTTGAGGGACGTAAGGCGAGGGGGATGACCGTCCCTTCTGGATGAGGTGGGCCAAGTATACGTTGATTACTTGATGGGAGATCAAATTGCTCGAAACTGAGCGATGGCGATGTTATCTTTCCGGCACCGAATGGTTGCAATGTCGTCTGCTCCAGAGTGGCAGCCATAATACCTAGTCAATGTCAGCTAAATATTTCCGGACAATACACAAATTTCAAGAGTATAAATCTTCCAAGATAAACCAGCCTGATACAAATTCAAACCGGTGCAGTCCGCCGATAACCATTATCGGATCAGCCATGTATCGTCGCCGATAGCATCCGGCCTATCATCCCATACAAGCCAGTCGCTTTCCGGACTAAAATCACGTCATTTCTTGAGGACCGTGAAACCATCCACATTTAACTTCTAGCGAATTATCATTGGGGATTGGCAGCCACGATAACCCCGCGTCCCCATCGGGTTCTATCCGACGTTCGACATGTGGAAGAAGCATGGTGTCTATTTGGGGGTCATCAATCTCTTGGCAATAGGCAGCACGTCAGATAACCAGTATCTCGCGTGTATCCCATTTAAAGTAGCATGCAGGCAAAAGATATAATGTTGAGTAGGGGTAGGTAGGTACTTATAGTAGATAGGTACTATCACCAATTCATCGGGGACGCCTTTGGATATGGTATTAGCATTTATCTCCGGCAAAGAAGTTGGCGACGATAGACATTGGCTTATGGGCAGCGTTTCTTTCAAATTTTTCGTGGTTTGAAATCCAGGTCTCATAGTTGTTATATCATATCTTTAACGCCATATAGTATCAACCACAATGTCCGCCGAACCAGCTGTCACAAAGGACGGGCTTGATAAAGCTCCTCAGGGATCCATCACAGTCGCAAATGCAGGCGATATACCCTCGACGCCGAATCATATTCCATTCTTTCGACGTACACTATTTCAAATTCTGGTCGTTGGGATATGTGCCTTCTCGGCACCCGGAATATGGACTGCTATGAACGGCCTCGGAGTTGGCGGTTCGCAGAGTCCGGACCTCGTCAACGCCGCTAACGCATTGTTATATGCGTTCATGACAGTGACCTGCTTTCTCTCTCCATGGTTATCGAATGCGGTCGGGTTCCGCTGGACGTTGTCCTTGGGTACGCTTGGTTACCCACTGTATGCTGCTGGTCTCTATGTCAATAATCGGTTCGGCTCTACGTGGTTCGTCTATGTCGGCGCAGTTGCCTGCGGCATCAGCGCGGGATTCTTCTGGGGCGTTGAGGGTGCTATTGCTACCGGATATCCCGAAGAGCACAAGAGAGGCCGGTACATCGCGACCTGGTTCACCTTCCGCAACTTCGGAAACGTCATCGGCGGCGCTATCTCGCTAGGCCTCAATCATAAAGTCAACCATCGCGGCCAAGTGGGATATCAGACCTACCTTGGCTTTATCGCCATTCAATGCCTCGGGTGCCTATTTGCTCTCCTTCTTTCGAATCCAGAGAAGGTACAGCGAGACGATGGGACGCGAATTGAAGCGCCAAGAGGAATTTACTGGCGTACTGAGCTCCGCGAGATGTGGAGGCTGATGAGGAGCAAGTCGATTCTACTCTTGACGCCTCTGTTTTGGTATTTCGGTTGGACACAAGCTTATCCGGGGACTTATTTTGCTACATATTTCACGGTGCGATCCAGAGCTCTTGGAAGTTTCTTGGGTGCTGTCGTCGGCACCTTTGCTACTTGGCTAGGTGGTACCCTGGTTGATATTCGCTGGACCAAGAAGCGACAGACACGTGCTATCGGCACATATATATTAATTGCACTGCTTAACACTGCGACGTGGATCTGGGCCGTGTATATCCAGAACGAATATCGACACACGCACCCCGTGCTAGACTGGGGCGACCAA